CAACAACCCCAAGGGTTGATCAATCAACAGAATCAATTGAAATATTTTTCAATAACCCCATCCCCCCGGATAGTAAACATCCAAATGGTTCCAAATATATGTAACCCCCAAAAACTAAACCATGGTTTATGGGGGCTCCCCAGCTTTTCACCCAGGGGTCCCTTGGGCAGGTCTCTGTGGAGAAGGAGGTGCTTGCAGAGATGATCGATGGACTGAAGCAGGAGAAGGTCATCCCCTGATGGCGCTGAGAAGCGCGGCTGCCGCGCGGCTGCCCCGGCTGCGCGACTCCAATGTGGGATGGTAGACCAGTTCATGACTTGTTGAGATTTGGATTCAGCTGGTTGAGATACCCATACTTCAGAGGAACGAACAATAATATTGAACAGACTAGGTGACTAGGGACACTGGCGCTCATGTTTTCGAAGATTGCTTTGACATCCTAGCAGTTTCGACTGCTACACTACGCGATGCACTTTCCCCTGGCTTAGAAGTGGAGTTCAATATGGCTGCGGCAGCTGCTTTTGAACAGCTGCCGTACCTCACTGGCACATCTCCGCGCTTAAGATATTTTTTGCAGCAGATCATTGCAATAGTAATGTTAACCCTGTATGTAGAAACCCTCAGTCTATCATTGGGGGAGAAACCAGTTTTAGTAGAAACTTGCCACTATTTGGTGGGTCACACCCCCAATAAATAGTCAGGGTTTAGCAAACACATTATTTCAGTTGTGCAGATTGGCATGCGCCTGCTTTGAGATGTGTAGCTATCAGATAGTCATCTCTCCATCCAACTCGATGTTGCGAAGCTGCAAAAGCGAAAAAACGTGGGTCCCAAATCGGTGGGAAAAAGGGATGAAAAGGGACCCGCACAAAATGATGACATGGGGAAGTCAATGTCTATCAAACATGAACATTTTTGTGCATGACTTGGGGCGCGTCAATGACAGCTGCATCGAAGTTGGCCCGGAGCGCAGGGAAGAACGATCGTGGTCAGCTGGGTTTGCCTCCAGCGACAGCTCCTGTGATTGATATGCTGGGGCCCCAGTTGACATGGACACCAGCAGGGGATGTGGGATAGCAGGCGGAACCAAAGCTGGGCTCGTTGAGAATGGTGAGAGGACGGTCTTTTTTTATGGGGCATATGAGAATAGTTGGATGAGGCCCTGGAGACTGCAAATCCCCGAGCTGGAGGAAATGGAGGAACGTGGGCATCTTAGTCGCCTGGTGATGTTCCCCAGTGCACCGTTTGTCCAAAAGGTTTCGAAGTTATGGTGTTAGACAGTGATTGAGCATTTTCTGGCATGAACTATTCAGATATTATTCAATATTCAAGATTCGCTGACTGAAGCTATCTGAGGGCTGTGTCTTTCAAAGTATATAGTGGCTGCCATTGCCCTCACAAATCATACCTGGCGAAGTCATCCCACTTCGTGTGCTGCTCCGCAGCTTCGTCAAAGATCTCCGATAAATGATAAATGTGTTGTACAACCAATATAAAACCATCCCCAATACTATCAATCATATTTACCGTAAATGAATTGTAAACATCATCCCCAAATGCTAGGTTTATCATTGGCAAAAAATCACAGTATCCATTTACATCCATCTACCCCATGAATTTCATGTGATCATATCATGAAACTTCGCAGCCCCGTCGCTGAAACGCTTGGCATTTCCAACCGCTTGGCTCCAGCTCTGGTTTTTCACCATTGGCGTCAGCTCTCTGTGCCGCGGCGCCGGCTTTTAGCCATGGGGGAATGTTACGCTTGTGGCACCTGGACTGCAACGGCGGGCTACGGCGGACCGGAGGGGACCACCGTGGATGTCAGGGTGGTTTCTACAGATGGGTGCAATATAGTGGGGATATAATGGGATACACACACAATCACATAATGCGTATATGTATGCTATGTTCTGTTATATATATATATAATATGTATATATTGTCTTATGTTATGTTATGTTGTATTATGTTATGTTGTATTATGTTATGCTATGCTTATTTTTATGTTTATGTGCATGTTTATGTTTATGTGTATGCTATGTTTATGTTTATGCGTATGTTATGTTATGTCATGGTATGTTTTCGTTATGGGGATTTTAGGGAGCCGACTGTCAGGTGGGATGGGTTCCAACCAGCCGGATAGGGTGAAACACCATGTTTCACCATGTTTCATCGCCATGTTTCGCAGGATTGACCACCATGAAATGGGAATTTCACGGCAAAAAACATGCCAAAAACTAGGGCGTGGCCATCATCGAATGTGGATTTCCTATGATTTCCTTGGGTGTCTTCCATTTTTTTCAAGATTTGTCGACTGGAGCCCCTTCCTGCTGAAACCCAGGTGAGTTTGGTCACCTCTCAAGAGATTGCGGCGAGCTCAGAGCGATCAGAGTGGTTTTTTGTCGTGGCAGGGGCCCCAAGTCCTACCATATGGGCAATCCCGACATCATGGATATATAGTGATAATACACATATAATAATGGATATATTATACAGATTGTATAATTAACATATAATAATAATAGTGGTATACACATATGTGTATTAATAACAAATAATAACAATAATAATGGTAGTAATTATATATAGATAAGACTACAGTAATAAGGATTATAAGAATAACCATAGTAGGAAATAAGAATATTATGGTTTTTGTTTAACAATGTTATGGGTTGATGACAATCCCCTATTTCTGATCGTTTCACAGAGCGGAGTTAGGAATTGGGGATGGGCTCCATTGTGGACCGGGCTGGGTTCTGCAGAACCTTAGGTCCCAAGAAGGGCAAACCCGGCTTTCAGGACGTGACTCCGTGGCTCCCCCCGTTGGAATTTCCTCAGATTCAAACCATGGATGTATCCATCTTCCACATCACTGGACGGGGCTCGAACATGCTCGGTAGCTGTGTGAACTAGACCTGGGTGAACCAATAGTTGATCCTAAACTACGAGCCTGCCAGAACAGGGATATATATATATATATTGAGAATCCACTCATTTTTGAATCACATTTCACTTGAAGCATGAACAGCATCTCCATCTGGGCACCTGAGCATTGCAGTGGATATTTTAAGATTTTTTCCCCAGTTCAGGAGCTGTTTTTTTGGAATATATTTCCAATATTTCCCCATATTTTCCCTGGGAACTCAGCTGGGAATTCCCATCTGTTTCCGATCTCCCAGGAGATTTGCGGAGACTTTCGCCGTGGCCGCTGCGACCGAGGGGAGTCCTGCCGGTTTAAACATGAAGGCGGCCTTTTTGTTCCGCCGGGAACGATGTCAGGTAGCTGCGGTGGTAGCATTTTTTTGGGGGTATTTTTTGAATATAGGTGTGCCTGGTGATTAAACCAAAAGTGCTCTAATTGTTAGTTGTAGACATGCTATTTCGATATTTTTCATTGAGAGTCAAACTCTATAAATCTAAAACATGACTACGTAGTATAGACAGTATAGCTTTGAAATATGTCGTATGGGGTCAACATGTTTTGAACCACAGATGGGCTGGTTCTCTCTGCATTTGATTTGAAGCTGCTTGGATCACCTCACTACGTTGCAGCTGATCAATAAGCCTGATGAAAAAGTACCTCATGTAGTTGTTTAAGGTTATTTATGACTTATTTATGATTTATTTGTGATTTATGTATGATTTATTTATGTACCTTGATGTTTAAAAGTCTTGGTTTACATGTTGGTTTACCAACCAGTTCCCCTTTGGTGATCGAACCATTTGCGATGGAAAACCTGCCACAGGACCTCCAGCACCCCCTCCAGGGGGTCGTGGCGGTCGCGACCGGGTGAAAGATGACCGACGCGACCGGGATCGCAGGGAGCGACGTGACTCGGATGGTTCGCCGGATGGGCAGGGGATGGCAGGGGCAGCAGCAACAAACATAGGACGACTGGTTGGTGGTTCAAACATATTTTATTTTTTTCCATTTCATATATGGGATGTCATCCTTCCCATTGACGAGCTCATATTTTTCAAGATGGTTAAAACCACCAACCAGACGATATAAAAACCAGGTAAAACGGTAAAACCAGCATCAGAGTTGGGGTTTATCACCGGCTGTTGGGGATTTATAGCCAGGATGAGTTCACCATCAGTTGGGGTGATGAGAACCCCCAGTGATGATTTCTATGACCCGTGGACCATGTTGTACCTACTTACTAAACAGACCACACCCCTAGTTAAAGCAGTTACGGGATCTAAGAGTATTGGTATATTGTATAAACCTAATTACACCTATAGGTAATTAAAAAACAGATTGATATTTTTTGAAATTCATATCTACATGTGGACGGATGGTGGACGGATGGATCGACAGATATACAGATCTACAGAATGAACGATAGAATGAATGAGTGAATGAATAAATGACAAGATGACTACATAGATACTGAATGATAGTGGTAGATATACAACACTTACAACATATATGAGTATAGTATCAAAATCATATATGAGTATAGTATCAAACTATATCAAAATCATACCACATACCACCTAGTTAATCATAGTTCTACCTTTGTTTCTCGATCATCGAGTCATCGAGGCTACGACGACGATGACCGTGGCCGCCGACGCGATCGCAGCCGTTCGGATCGCTACCGAGGGCGACGGCGCGGTGGCTCTGAGGAGCGGCGCCGGCGGCGTGGCTCGGCGGGTTGAAGCCATGTTTCACATGCTGGGGCTGAACGTTTTTGACATGGTTTAACTGTGTTTAACTATAAAAAATGCTGGGGTTAACTCGGTTAACTATGGAACATGGTGGTTTAACCGTCAAAAAATGTGGCTTTACTATGAAACATGGGTGGGGGTTTAATGGTTTAATCATCCTGAAAGGGATAAATATAGCCATTCCATATATATGGGGATGGGGTTTGTTGAAATCATGCAAGATTACAACATTTTGTGGGAAGATCATCGGCTCAAATGGATGAGAGCGAGGGATTTGTTCATTATTATATGGGATGTTTCGGTGTACTACGCCCCAAAACACAAACAGGCTGGTGGTTTCAAATCCCTTCTGTTTCCAATCGTATTTGGGATGGTGATACTAGTTGACAAACAATTTTGGGATGGAGTGCCTTGCTATGCCTTGCTTCCATGTTTGTGCACTTCTGCCTACGTGAACATGCCGTACATTCCTAGGGAAATGGAGCGATCCAAGGTGACTGTAGCGAGTCTCGATCACGTTCACGTGGCCGAAGACGATGAGTGGCCATGCTTCCGACGATCGGATTTTGAGGGCTGCGAGTCTCGGGTTTCTGATGATCGAATGATATCGAATGATTGAATTTCTGATGAGCTGGTGAAAATCAACCAGATAGGCTGCGGGTCCTTCTCCCTTGAAGCGTTCATGAAAGACTTGTCAAAGTAGCAAGCGAAACCTCACCACTTGAACTCTTGACATGTTAGCTTTAACATGCTTTAACAGTTTCTGACACCAAATGGATATATGATATATATATATATGTGTATATGATATAACCTGAAAACCATAACATCCTATCTGCATAAAGTTTGGCTATCTAAGCTTCGCCATGCGCCCCACTGCACCAGAAGAACGCCTTAAGGGAGAAGTCAACGGCGGAAAAACGCCAGAGGAGTCCAGATTATGAGGCACAGATGTGAGCCTTGCGGACGACTGAACACTGGAGGCTTGATGCAGTGCTTTGATAGCTACAGAAAGAGGTGTATACATGTAATAATTATATTATATTATATTATATTGTATTATATTATATTATATCATATGGTTTATGATGACACATAACTGGATAGATAAATAAGTAAATAACTAAATAAATAGATAAATATATAAATATATACATATATGTATATATATATAAATACATATATGTATATATATATGTATATATATATATGTATGTATGTATATATATAAATTATATATATATATATATTGAATCATGTTGGTATAGATAGAGCGAGGTAGGGAGCGACGTTATTTCTTACACAGTATGAACATGTATGCACTATATGGCATATGTGTCCACAATCTACAAGTCACCAATCTCCCTAATAAATGGGTCAATATCTCTAATAGATGGGTCATGCTTGCCTCCAGTGACGACAGTCTGGGACCACTTGCTGCCATGCGGGCGACCGTGGATCGTGGATGGGTGAGCTCGTTGGGGAAATACGGGGAAAATGGCCCTGCAACTCAACCATAGTGAGAAATTCATGGCACGGCACCCCTGCATTGCATGCGCAGCGATATGTATGCATATATATATAATATACTTCTTTCTATTTCTTTGTGCTACATGAAGGCCGTAATTATGTTTCATCCTTTCATTTCTCGTTACGAGGCGGGACTAAATAGGAAGGCAACGCAATGGGAATTCCACACGGTTTTCAGCATAGAAGCTTTAGAAAATCGAACCCAAATCCCATGGTTTATCATCATGTTCCACATAAAGATTGGAGTTCTTGGTGTCCACCATTCTTGGACAAACCCCAAAAATAGGATGCAGCACTTAGCTCACTGCCACAGCGCGAAGTCGACAGCGCAAGCGCTGCGCAAGCGCTTGGGAAAAGGAAGACTGCCGCGATCCCGGTTGATGGTTGATGGATCTGAACATGTGGACCATCAGGCCTCATAGGCCTCCCAATTTAGGGTCACAAAAAAACAAGGACGATGATACAGTGATACAGCGCTAGATGTTGGATAGTTTGGGGCACCCTTATTTTGGAGAAAGCCATGTGGGTTTCTACGAGTTGAATGGCTAAACATGGGCGACGACATGAGTCCAATCCCACTTGCGAAGCCCAACCAACCAGGACACTGAAGATTCGGCCAGGATGGGGACTGTTGAACAAGTTAGGAACAGATATTACCCTCTGATAAATTAACAGTTGGACCCTGAAAATCACCAATTGTTAGAGAAAACTAATCTTCCAAATCTACCAGGGTCTATGTTAAATAACCAGATGGTAAATCTAATATCATATTAATAATATGTTCATATTTTGATAATAATAGGAATAGTACTGATCATATTAATAATGGGAATAATACTGATCATAGTAATAATAAGTCTTTTTTGATCCGTATTGGGCATAGTCGATAATATATGATAATATCACACACGTCACATTGCACACCGAATTGTTGAAAAACACATTGGTAAATAGGACATCTTCTATCTATGAACCTATGATCTATCTATAATATATTTGTAATATTAATCAGATTTGCTATCTATGATCTATTTATGGTATATTCTCAGATTTGCCAGAATAGTTCTCGTTGCTTGGGGCGCTGACACTGAGCCTGGCCTGGAAGCATCCTCTGTGTGTTGCCCAGCAATTTCAAGTATAATATGTATGCATAACACATACACATTATATATATATATATATCTATATTACTGTATATACATATATCTATAATGGAAAAAACACCAAGAAATAAATTAACATTTTTTTGATATGCACACACACACACATATATATATACGTATATAGCATCCCCACAATAAAAAGAATGACGCCTCCGAATTACAAGGTAAATATGGGCTGTGCCATCCAAAACTGATACCAAGTGATGGGCCCAGGTGGACATATGGACATTGACATCGCGCAGGCGCCATGGTATCATGGTATCATGGTGGGGCTACCAATGGCCCGGTTTCAGATGGTTTTAACATATTCAAATGATCCCATGCCCATAGTTAATCAATGTTAATCAGGTAACCCCAAAAACGCCAAAATGAAAATTCACCCAACACCAAACCCGCGTTTCTAGCGGAAAATGTCTTGTTAGGGCAGAAACGGACCCCGCCTCTTTTGTATTTCCCCTGGCTCAATGATCCCAAGCTATCCATTTTAAAATGGGTGGCTCAACCACAAATTCTGCAGCGCTAGCCGCGAGCCCTTCACAGCGGCAGTTGAGTCGCTCCTCGATAGCTCCAGCTATGCTGGGACACGCACTGGGATATGGGTTTGTCTAAAAAGCGCTGCCGCGCTGCCAAGCTTGATCACCTATGATTATATGATGGGTTTAAGATGGTATAGGATGGTAGAAGATGGTATAGGATGGTATAGGATGGTATAGGATGGTATAGGATGGTATAGGATGGTATAGGATGGTATAGGTATATATAACATATAGAATCTAATGTATATATATATACATATTGCATCTGGAGCGGATTGACCGCACTTACTTGTCCATATCTTGTATCATTTCGTGCATGGCGTCTCTCCGAGACTCTCCGCAGTCCACCTGCCCTTCCCTTTCCACCGCTTCGAGTGAGCAGTCTGTCCGCTAGCAGAACCCATATCGCCACTTTTGGTAATTCTGTATGGTTGGGTCTGGCATGTCCATATGATTCCACATCATACATACTATTCATGATTCATTTTTTCCATATGATTCTATATTATTATATTATGTGGAATAATAATACATACTCATAGATTCTATATCATTTTTACTATGGTTTATTCATCCGCCACATCTTGAAGACAACTCTATGCAGGTGGCCACTGGGCTGGAAGCCCAAGGGGGCATCCAGAGAATCCCCCTGCAAGCATGATGAACATCTGAAGAGGTCCAAGCTTGGGATCATATTGCTGATTTTCTATCCATTCCAGATACAATACTAAGATATATATATATATACACATACATATATGCATATATCATATGTATTATATACCTATTTTTTTTATTCACATTTGTATATTAAGATAAATAGATAAATATATATCTCTATTAATTTTCTGCATTCATGTGTGAAGGGATGTCCAACATCGGATGCACACTTCCCTTTGGATCCAACTTATCTAAGGGTCTTTGAAAGAAATGAATCAAATTTGCGATCTGTTTCGAGACCTTATAGGATGGCCCAATATTTTTCAGGCTTGAAATCACCGATAAGATCAGTGCTGGTGCATTCCCTGCATTTGGAAATGGGAGTCGTTTTTGAAATCTTTAATTCTCTATGGATCATTTATCCATATTGGTTGTGATAAGATCAGTGTCTAAAATCCTGGGATCCATCATTTCTCCCAGCTTTGTGTCTTAGGCTGCACCACTCCATGTGTATGGCCATCACGACCGATTCCAAAGGCAATCGCCAGCATGGGAGCTTGGAATCAACGTGCGTCAGGATATGTCAGGGAATCAACGGAAAGCCTGAGATGATCCTGGCAGCCATTCCTGGGCACTGTTGGGAGCCTTCCTCAGACTAGTTCCGAATGTCTGAACGGGTGAATGGCTCAAGATTACATACCGACCCCAGTCACTGTGAGATAACCGTGAATGATGGGTTTTCAGGGAATCATCCTATTCAGTGACCTTTTTATAAGATATGATAAGATATTATAAGATCTCTGATATTTCTTTGGGCTTTACCTTACTTCAGGTTGATCAGCTGATGGATGTTGATGGTTTCCGGAGCGCCATGGCAGCCCCTGCAGCCCCTGCAGCCCCTGCCCTTGCCAGCGTCCGCGAGGCTTGACAAAACATGATCATTTGGTGGTTAAACAGTTTGCTGTTTTTTTTGTTTGCTATTTTTTTTGTTGGGGTTTGGAGATGGCTACTCATTGGGGTAGACACGCTGGAAGTGAAACAAGCCACATCAAACGAGACTTGATGCTTTTGCAACTGCGTGATTTCGATTCAAGAGCCAGGCATCAATTGATTCAAATCTTAGTGTATCCACCTTTGTTGCCAGCCAAAAAAATTCGGGCACCCAAGTTTGATCCGTACATCAGCCCTAGCGGCCCTAGCTTCCACCAGGTGTCAGCCCGAGGAGTTGCCATGGGAAGGATGGGAGGCTGTCAGTGCCATGTGCCTTGACGGCCTGCCTCGACCCTTGGGGGAGCCCCACATTTTTCAGCATCAACTGGGCATCAACTGTAATGAATTGGATGATTTGGATGTAACAGTGTACCCTCTGGTAATGACTAACATAGCTATGGAAAGATCCACCATTTTTAATGGGAAAATCCACTATGAATGGTCATTTTCAATAGCTACGTTAAATTACCAGAGGGTAACCCAATGACTTTGGAAACCACAATGAATTTTGGGGATCTTTGGAGACAGCCACTTGATTCAGGATTCAGATATACATTTGGTACGTGATGGCGGGCGAGTTTGCCCGTTTCATGCTGCCGGGACATGACGCCTGGTTCCTTAGCCCAACGTTTGGTGGGGCTTATGATTGGCTTGGGGACCATTCATGGCCGGCATATCCCGGCATGCTCTTCATGGCCCAAACGCCACGATGAGGCAAATATAGAGAGAAGAGATGGATTGATGGTCCATGTCCCGCATTTTCTTTCCTTTCTTGAGGAGGTCACCTTGGATTCATGGCTTCAAAACAGTGCAAGTTGCAAGTGATTTCCAGCAGCGGCTCGGGCAGGTTGAGCCAAATGTGGCTAGCGCAACTCTTGACCTACTTCCTGAGCTGGATGTCACTTCAGCCACTTCTCAGGCAGCCCTTGGTCGGGCATAGACTTGTCTAGACATGTTACTAGGCATTCCAGCTGGCTAGCCTCAACATTGGCAGCTCATGGCAGCTCCATGAAAAGATCCCGAAACTACATGTCAGACCTGTGAAATGTAGTCAAATGTATTCAAATGTGGCATTCTTGGAGGTTTTTGGCAACTCTTAGGATCTCTTAGGTAACTTGCCCCATGTTGCCTGATGCCCATCCCACAGGCGCTTGCCCTCACAGCATCTGCGCAAGATGATCAATGGCCGTGTCACGGGGAGACACCTGGCCTTCGGCTTGGCGTTGGCGCTGCTGTTGGGTGCGGGATCAGATGGGGTCAGTGGATGATCTCGGAAAAGACTTGGAACGTCTTGGAACATTAGGGACGTCTTTGACTGAAAATAGGCAAAAAAACATCGACTACCAGAGGGTAAGCCAATCCCAAAGATGACAGTCCTGACAGTCTGTAGATGTTTGTAGTTTGTATCCCAAACGTTGAAAGCAAACACTCGCCAGGTTTCCTCACAGCTCCCGTGGGTCGTGGTCATTTGCTTCCCAGTGCTTCCACGGTTCTCCACGGAGAGCTGCGTGCTGTGCAACATCTGGCGGCCAGCCGGAGTCTGGGAGGAGTGGCCTGGCGTCACCGATCCAAAGCCCAAGAGTCCCAAGACGTGTGTTTTTCCCGGACTGCCCCAAAAAGTGACATCATTGATATCCCACTTGCAATCACATAATAGATCACATAATAGATCACATAATAGATCATGATCATGATATATCATGATATATATATATATATATCATAATAGTAGATTTAGCCGTTGAGTTCCCCAGCACATCACCCACGAAGTCATACGAAGCCACTGAGGTTGCGGGCCTCTTCTTGCTGGTTGGTGTTGTGGCCCCCACCTTCGAGGAGCCTCCTGGCACACCACATACAGATACATACAGTATCTACCTAGCTAATTACTGTACCTATCTACTCGATCTATCTCTAATCTACGTAATCTAATGAAGTCAAATCCATTCCAATCTAAACCTAAATCTAGTCTAATCTATTCTAATCTATGTATCCAATCCATCTCTCGCCTGCCCTCGCTCTCTCGCTCTCTCGCTCTCTCGCTCTCTCTCTCTCTCTCTCGCTCGCTCGCTCGCTCTCTCTCTCTCTCTCTCTGTGTCTCTTTCATGTTTCCGTAGTTTGTTTTCCTCGGGGGGAGCGAGATTTGGAGATGCCAATGATTCCTTGCCGAAGGGCTTCTCCCAAGCGATTTCAGTTTTCATGGCACTTCTTGCTTGGTATAGGACGAGCCCTGACTTTTTGAACTCTCAAAGCCGCTATTGTCCTTATTCCAATCCAAACTCATGCGTCTGCAGGCGATGGTTCTTTGCTGTTTTTATCAAAGCTGCTCATTGATTTCCCCAATCTTTGGTATCATTTCATCATCCGATAGTATCCCAATATAATCAATACCCATAGCTCCTGGCCCATGGCCCGCGAAACGTTCTTTGAGAAACAATGAGCTGATTTCGTTTTCCACGCTGAGGCTGCTTTTTCGAGGCTTCCTGCTGATCGCTCTCAGGAGAAGTTCCTCACCTATCTTCCTCAGCAGTTTCTTGCTGCTCAGCTGAGTCGAAACCACATGGCTTTCACAGGGATTCAAGCAGTTATATACATGGGGAGTGTGCCCCGTTTATCACCAACCTGGGAGTATAAAACTAGCGACCTCGGCATGTGACAAGGGCCGATCAATTGGCCAGGTGCTATTTAGAATTTGGTTTATTTCGCCCCGATTCCCAGGGCAAAATAAGGCAAAGTAACAGTCAGTGGACCCCACTTTCCGGCGGCTATGGGCACAGTGGGCCAAACCGTTGAGCTGCAGGTTCGGATTTTTTCATTGCCATCCCAACTCGCATAGTGCCCTGCTGGGCTTCCGACCTCTGCTGCCCACAGCAGTGCTTGGGGCCTGGTTTGCCTACTTTGCGGTGAAAACTGGCTCCTTGCAACTTGACTTTGATGGGCCAGTGGATCTTCTGGAGTTGCCAAGCCCTGGCTATAGGCTACAAGCAGATTAGCATCCATTGATGATGTTTGAGAACACACGACTGGTATATAATCTGCCCGGGCTTTCACCCGGTTTGCAGCCTGAGGACGACTTCCATTCTCCTGCACCAGTTCTGGAATGGCGGGCACGTGTTGCTGGTCGCCATTTTGACGTGGATGGGCACATCTCCTTGAAGCTGGGCCGAAAAATCATCAGGAAGCTTCCTGTCCCCATCCCCACCGCCTAAACCCCATCCGCATCCCACCCCCCAACCCCATCCTCAATCCCCGTCCCCAACCTTCAACCGCCGATCCCCAAGCCCTCTCAGCTCTCAGGGCTGGTTGACATGGCCGTCTCCTGCTACGCCTGAAGGCGCCAAAGAAGGGTGCCAAAGGAGCACCAGCGCCATGTGAAGCCACAGCTGACTGGCTTCTGCTCCTGCACGAGGTATCAAAAGGTATGGGGTGTTGTGAAGGGGCCTTCCCTCAGGCGTATAGACACACAGTCTATGCCCATCATAATATGCTACCCACATGTTGCCGTGTGTGTACATATCCATGAGAGAAAGAGAGAGGGAGAGCGTGTGCGATACGCATACGGTATGCAAATAACATGACATAACATATCATAACATCATATAACCCCCAGCAACCGCCAATGATCGCCAATGGCATGGATTCTGCGATTGATACGGCATTGTCTCCCAAGCGCTAAAGGGCCCCATCTTTCCCTGGTCGCCATGCCGCAAAATCCCTTGGTCTTCTTCGAGATCGCCTTTGATGGGCAACCTGTGGGCGACTTGGCGAAATCGCGGAGAGGAACCACAAAGCTTGGATCTTTCAAAAGGATCTTGCAGGAATTTTGTATGACATGGTATGACACAACCATACACAACCGAGGATGTCATGTGGAAACAAATTACTTTACTTCGTGTGATCCCCACCATGACATTTATACATTTTCTTACTGGCAAATCTTCTGGCATTCTATCTGACATATCTTCTGACATTCTATTTGACATTCTATCTGGCATATCTTCTGGCATATGATCTGGCATATCTTCTGGCATATCTTCTGGCATTCTATCTGGCAAATCTTCTGGCATTCTATCTGGCATATCTTCTGGCACTCTATCTGACATATCTTCTGGCATTCTATCTGGCATATCTTCTGGCATATATTCTGACATATCTTCTGGCATTCTATCTGACATATCTTCTGGCATATATTCTGACATATCTTCTGGCATATCTTCTGGCATATCTTCTGGCATATCTTTTGACATATCTATCTGGCATATCTTCTGGCATATTTTCTGGCATTCTATCTGGCAAATCTTCTGGCATTCTATCTGGCATATCTTCTGGCATATTATCTGGCATTCTATCTGGCATATCTTCTGGCATATCTTCTGGCATATCTTTGACATTCTTTCTGACATTCTTTCTAACTTTCTTCTGCACATTCTTTGTCCCATATCTTCCTACATGAGGTCCGGCAGGGAACACTTGGCGTGGATACTCGCGGTTGAGGTCCGGCAGGGAACACTGGGCGTGGATGGTTGAGGTCCGGCAGGGAACACTGGGCGGGGATGGTCGTGGTTGAGGTCCGGCAGGGAACACTGGGCGAGGATGGTCGTGGTTGAGGTCCGGCAGGGAACATTGGGCGTGGATGGTCGTGGTTGAGGTCCGGCAGGGAACACTGGGCGTGGATGGTCGTGGTTGAGGTCCGGCAGAGAACACTGTGGATCGCGGGTCGCAGTTGAGCAAGGACGACGAGGACGACGAGGACGACGAGGAGGACGAGGAGGACGAGGAGGAGGAGGAGAGGAGGAGGAGGAGCAGGAGGAGGAGCAGGAGGAGGAGCAGGAGGAGGAGGAGGCAACTGACATAAAATCTAACAACCCTCACCTGGCAGGTGGGGAAAAAGGGGTTATGGCATTTATGGCAGATGATGCCGGGTAGCGTAGCCGCGTACCCATGCAGCTGGAGAAACATGATCCAAGGAGGACATCCCATGGGATATAGTGATGAGCTTGGAACATGTTGGAACCCGGCAGAACGATGACAAGCCATGTGATTGAGTGGGGTACCATAGGGTTACCAGTTACCCTATGTATCCCTATGTTACCCTATGTTACCCTATGCTCAAAGCCAGAGGCAAGATCGTTTTCGAGCTCTTTGCGCATGTGGTGCCCAAGACGGCTGAGAATTTCAGGGCGCTCTGTACTGGAGAACACGGCAAGGGCAAGTCTGGAAAGAGGCTGAATTTTATGGGCTGTGTCTTCCATCGGATTATCCCTGGATTCATGTGCCAAGGAGGTGACTTTACCAGAGGTGATGGAACTGGAGGAGAATCTTTGACCTGCAAATTCAATGCGAATTCTTCAATCATTTCGTGTTGTCTTAAAAGCGTTAAACCGTTAAACGTCTTCATTAGACTCTTACATGATCATTGCTTGAAGGAGTCCATGCATAACTTACTAACTTATGCTTATGCTGACTTAATAATCTTAATAATACAAAATCCATCATTTGTGACGCATATACTTTTTTTTTGTCCGTTTCTTCTTGCCTTTGCCCATTTGTTTTGACTCTTGGACGGCCGACTTGGAGGATCACTCCCCAGGACAGATACCTCCCGCTATGGCCGCTATGGTTACTGTCCATTTACCTACCGTGTAAGCCACGGTACTGCATGCCTCCAAAAAATAAACAGAATGTTAAAGAAGAAGACCTAAAAAGATTAGCCCAATCAAATAAATATTGCTTGGTGGTTCAAACTCGTTCTTTTTCTCAAGCCTATCTCGAATGATAGTCCATGATCATCCCCCACGACACGGAAACGCTCCAAAAAGCTTGAAGCCACCAGACTTGGAAAAGATGCACGTTTTTCCTATGTTCTTATTTTTTTGAACAATGTGTGTAAGCTATATATCATTTCAGATATATATATACATACATATATATATATAAACATACATACATATTCATGTGGTTGAGTTATATCAGCTATGGCACCCTGTGGGTAACTCAAACCACATATATGCTTTTTGGGCATCTTCTTTATAGCGTGGTAAGTTTTACACACACACACATATATATATAACACATATAACTCCAAATATATATATATATATATACACATATACACACACACACACGCACATATATATATATAAGCAACGCTGAATTTCTGGTTACTGGTTGAGTCCCCCAAAAAATCATCCAAGGAGTCCATCTACGGCGCCAAGTTTCGTGATGAGAACTTCCAGATGCGACACACGGAGAAGGGCCTGCTCTCCATGGCTAACTCGGGGCCCCACACCAACGGGTCACCGGCCAAGATTTTGATGTTTTTAACCACCAGAAAATGGTGGAGAAAGTTACCAGGTTAAAAACCCAGCAACAGAGTGGGATTTTATGGTTTCTTTCTATTGAAATGGTGGGTTTGATGTGTTTTTGTTACATCCAGTGGCGGATTTTTGGGGTTTGTTTATCCTGCAAAATCATGTTTTCATATGAGTTGATTGTCCAAGATGGGGCTGGGACCATTTTTGGTTGAGCAATATGTGGGGGATGTGAATGGATGCTCCGACATGAGGATCGAACATAAACTGAGAAGACGTAGTAGCACAGGATTTCATATGATTTGATGGTCCAAAAGGGAATATTCGACCAAAAACAAAGAATGACAGGCTTCAAACTGGCGGTGAATGGGCTTGGAGTTTTTCAACTTTTCAGTTTCTTGACAAAACTGGGATGATGATCCTAAGACATTTTCATATTCACTGGGATGGAGTTCAATCTCCCAAAAAATGAGATGGAATAAGAATGATCATGCTAATCCCTGTTGGTTGTGTTGTATCTTTACCATGTCCTTCCGAAACTTTGGTTTTTCCAGGCCGAATGGCTGAGAGCCTTGGTTTTACCTCGGCGGTTAAAACCCGGTTGACCAGGTTTTGTCAAAGCTAACCCCCAGCCACCCAGCCACACCAATGCCTCTTCGCGGCTCACACACACACATACATATATATATATTAAATAAAAATATATACATACATATATATATATATATGTATACATATTAAATAGAGATATTTATATATCAATGATGTGATTTATTTGAGACCAGTTGAGGAAAAACAAGATAAATTAATATCAATTATGATTCGACTCCGACCATCCAACATGTTCGGATCCGAGGTCGCAGTTCTTCATCACGGTGAAGGCGACTCCTCACCTGGATGGGAAACACGTGGTCTTCGGCAAGGTCATCAGTGGCTATGATGCTTGGTGACCTAAAAAAGGGCCGGATAACACATGGTTTATTAATGTAGGGAACCACCATAAGATATTAGAAAGCACTATTTTTTTTTACACATCTACTAAGTATACATCTACATGTTTGTCAAATTGCGCACTATGCTGGTTGTGAAATGTAAATATTTTCATTTTTTTTATCTTGGGATTGTTTTTGTGATAGGGACCCGCCCCACATACCATCCCAATAAACTACATAACCATGGAAAATCATGAGTTTGAATAGGCAAATCATCCATTGGTGCGCAATTTTCCGTAGCTCCAGCTATGTTTAGCAAACGTTTTCATCTGGCGATCAGGACATCGTGCAGAAGATGGAGCGCTGTGGCAGCAGCAGTGGCAAAACCAGCAAGAAGGTCACTATCCACACCTGTGGCGAGGAAGGGCCGACTCGATGGGGCTGGGCCACTGGGATCCTCCAGAGAAGTCTAGGAGGAAAGCGACAAGACTTGGGGGTCTTTCCGCCACCCCAAGAGATATCAAGAGATGACTAGGTATTTCATCCAACAAACAGCTCATCAAGCATCACCACTTTTCACCAATTTCCACCAACCACTTTTAATTTTATAGTTTACTAGCAAAATCATCCAACATCTTCAAACATCACAGCATTTCGATACATTTCTAAGAGTCTATCAATTTTCGCATGTTTTCCCAAGC